ATAGTATTTGATCTGCGCAATACGTTTACTATGGCCAAGGGCTCTGTGCTGAAGCAAAATCTTGGAATACCTATGGGAAAATCTTCTAGTCCGTCCCTTGCCAGTCTTATGTGTGTCCACAACGAGTTTACCTTTCTACAAAGTCTAGGAAATGAAGCATGATTGATCAAGGGGTGTAGAGTAATCGATGATGTGTCGGTATTTGTTAGATATCAGGAAGCATGCAAATTGTTGAAGGATAAGGCCGCTATGATACTCTCCAAGTTTAAGAGTTCCTGCTATGATGAGCATTTGGTTTCGGAAAGCACGCGTGGTCTTGAATAGCCGTATCTGGGATGTCCCCTGCTGGTTGGGAGCCAACCAAGCAAGGTCTATTGTTAGGCCTTACACAAGAATCAAGATTGTATTTTGGATGGGATAGGTATCAGTTTTCGTAATCTGCAAAATTATAACTCCTTCGTAGTAAGAAACATAAATTCATTGTAATTACTTCGTTTTCTCACAAAGTGTATGACATGGGCACATTACTTGCAATGAAGGCTGCTTTTTTATTTAGTCTGAAGATGAAACTTCGTCGAAGGTATTTTCCAGACAGTTTTTTCGATAGGGCTCTCACCAATTTTAATGTTAAGATAGGGGGGGCCTCGACCGAATGAGTCCGATGTTTTACGAGCCGGGCCTGATGACTAAGGCCGAGGACAGTATGGGGCCTTGTTTTTTTTTTTTATTGTTGGCGAAAGGGTTCCTCTACTATTGTCATTCACAAGTACTGCGAGCTAGTTTGTTCAATTCAGGACGATATAGGATTAGTACTTTGTTTTTTTTTTCACCGGCGCTAACCCTGACGATGGCCGGTACACTGGCGGACCGGCCGAAACAACTGTAGGGTAATCGCCAGTTGAGCTTCACATTTGTGCTTTGCGCCTTTGACGTTCTGCACCTTGTTACCTACTTGTCAGCCAACATTGCAATTTTTTTGAGCTGACGTGCTCGGGGGACTACACATTCTTGTCTTCTCCTTCTCTTTCTCCTTCTCTCTCCTATATCCTCCCTTTCCTCCTTCCCTCTTCATGTTGCCTTGTTCTTACAAGCTGACTATGTTGCTTGAGATTCATCTCTACTACTACCACTACTCGTTCTATGATAGATTTGATTCTTACGTCAGAGGATCTTGATAGGGTCTTACTATGGGCTGCAATTTTCCCTCAAAGTTTGTTTGATTCAACCCAAAACTAAGGGGGGTCTAGGGATTCTTTATCCAAATCTTCAATATCAATCTCTTGGAATACAATGGATAAATAAATTAATTTTATCCACGGATAAACCTTGGCAGGTCATGGCTCTTGAACAGATTCGGCGGCTTGCCCCTGTGGCAAGTGAAAACATACACCCGCTCTCATGGGTCGAGGATCGTTTTTGGTCCATTCCCAGGGGAAAGGTGAGTGGGAATATAAGGGGGGGGAGAGGGCGAGAAGTGATATTGTCTTGGATAATATGTGGGCAACCCTGTTAAAACTATGGAGACGACTATCGTTGCCTAACATACGATTTCCTACTAGATATGAGGAGGTCCTTCGTCAACCACTTTTTTGTAACAGATGGATCACAGACCTAAATGGATGCATTTTCAATAGTTATTCTACACCGTGGTGTTAGTGGGTAAAAAAGGGGGTTACGCGAATCAAGGATATATGGGATCCAGGTAGGAATGACTGGAAGACGGGGGAGCAGTTAAGGCAATCCTTAGGATATGCTCATTATATCAATATAAGCTTGGACCATATTATTTTCTCTATATCCCTGCCTTGGGTAACAACGCTTAAACCACTAGTACCTGGCCCAGCTATCGGTCGCGGCGCTTCTTGTATACGGGCCGCGCCATTTGGGCTTCGGCCTGCCGGACCGCATTGGCTGGAGGCCGCAGGCAAAACGAAAAAGAAAATTGGGACAGCGGTTCGGCAGGACTTGGCGCGCAGCGTGCTGGGAGGCTCGGATTCAATAGCTGAGGGAGGTACTGGTGGTTTAAGAGAGGGCCCGGGATTAAGGATGCGGATTGGGTGGTGGGGTTCCAGACCAATGGACAAAGGGTAGTGTGGTCAGGTGGTCCACATGCTTCCGCAAGGAGCTCTCGTAAACACCTGTAAGATAGATAGAGATTTTTTTTTGATCCATTCTCCTTTTCGATCCAGTTAGTCTATTTCCCATGTCCCATCTCTATAGAATCAAAGTTCTTTTTATCTCCTCAATTAAGGGTTGGAGAACTTTTCACCCGGAAATACCCATCCCGGAGCTTCCACTTGATCTCGCAGTGTGGGTTTGGCAGACTAGTAAGAAGGGAAAACCTAGATCATTACCGTCCCTATCAGTAAAAGTTGTCTACCGTCTCCAAAGACCAAGAGTTGAAATTTTGGCAATACTTTTGGATAGATGGGTTAGACACATTAATCTTGACCTGAACTTAATTAAACATATTAAACTTTTAAAAAAATCAGACAACGCCCAACAAAATTTTTGTCCCTGCAGTCGCAAATTGTCCATCGTTGTATGCCTACTAACGACTGGCTCATTGACCACTCTTCGCTGGAACAGAAGGGATTGGCCTTGCCTTGGTGTAAATCATGCGTATCATCCTTTCCTAGTAAAAAATGTCACGAAACTATTGAGCACATTTTTATGCAATGCCCTGGTTCGGTTTTATTATGGAGGAGATGGGATGATGTTTGGAGGGAACTCACTGGTTTGAATTCACCTTGTGACACAAGATTTTATACTGTCTACTTTTCAGTGCAATCTTTTTGAAATTGGTAGGAAAGTGGTCGTTTGGGTCTTATGGTACAAACATTGTATCAATGAAAGGGAAAATGTGGCATCGGGGGGAACTGAAATTGCAGAACCTATTGCTCAATTCGTACAAACAAAAATTAGAGCCCATTGGGAGGGTTTGTGACCTAAACTCCATAACTTCCAAAGGAAAAAGGACATTCAACAATTAATTCAGAATTTTCAATTTTGTACTGGACAGACTGGGGGGTGCAGGAGAGAGGAGCCTGGGAGAGGTGAAGTGGCCAGGGGGAGAAGGGCCGGAAGTTCCCTTTAAAAAGGACTTCCAACTTAGTTTCAAGGACTGGTTTTCGCTACGACCAGAAGCTTCTCTCAGGGAACCTAGCGATTTTGCAGATCCATTTCCCCCTTCTCACCTAGCTCTGGTAGAGGTGCCATGATATATACAAAAAAGGGGGGGAGGGGGGGGGAAGGGGAAGGAATGCTAGGTTATTAAGGATCAATCTGGTGGCGGTTCGTTTGAACTGAAGAGTCCTTTTTCTTCTCTTTTCATTCTTTTAGGAGGGGAGTGTAGCAGAGTTCATGGGGGGCGCTGGGCCCACTCCGCAGCATGTGCGGATTGATGTTTATCAAAAGACGTGATTAATGTTTATCAGGGGACGCTGGACCCGTTTTCCAGCAGGTGTAGCTTCCCACCAATAGAATGGAGCACTCTGTGAAAAAAAAAGAAAAAAAAGAAAAAAGAAAAAGGGTTCAATTTTATTCATTCAATTTCATGTATATAAAATCTCCGCTTTGACGAAATGGCTGTTGTAGGGAACATTCAAGATGACAAAGTTTTCACTCTTAGTCCAATGGGGGAGTGTTGGTTTCCTCTAACAGCATCCCCCGATGCCCACTGATAGGCCTAAGTTTACAACTGGGGGATCATAGTCCAAGAACAGAACTATAGACTGGGAAAACGACTCAACATCAAGAATGGAACTGTAAAGGCCTACATCATCACATTCATCGTAAGATGCAGCGGGACTCTATCTGCCCTGGCCTACAGCCACGGCCTATCAAGCTATTTGGCCTGTTCGGCCTGTGGGACCAGGCCGTGGCCTGACCCCACAGGCCGTGTGTTCACTCAGTCCAGTCCAGTCCTGCCCGGTACCACTGTCGGTACCAGGTCAGTCCAGTCCAGTCCAGTCAGTCCGCTGGCGGTATACCCCAGCTGCAGTCTGTTTCAGCCTCATTCTTCATTTTCACACTTTGGAGTACATGCGTGTTGAGTCTGCGTCGGAGCTGCGCTGTCCCTTCCAGCTCCATCTCCATTTCCGTCATCCTCACCCCTTCGTCTTCATCCTAACGGACCGCCACACAGTCCATACAGTATCGCAAAAGAAGGAAAATGTAGTGATGTAACACGTGTGAAGTTGTACCTGGATTGAATGAGAGCAGTTAGAATCAACACATGCTCAACTTCATCCCCACCGACTCCCAAGTTCCCCCCTACACCACTCCTATACTCCACTAGACAATCCTTCAAGCCAATGCTTTGGTGTGTGCTCGACATTGCCTCCCATTAGAAGAGACGACGCTCTAAAATGACATTGAACTTGATTGAAGCCTTCATAGCTGGTGTGGTCTTCTCCCTATGTTTGTTTCGGTGCTGGAAGCCATCTTGGTCAGCTCTCCTCCTTGTTGGTCAACTCACGCTCACCCACCTTGCACATCACTCAAGTCCCCTACTCGTCTTCACTCGTCCAACTGCTTCCCCCGTTCCTCACTCACGCTCCTCCGCAGCTCCCAACTTATAGACCACCTCCACTGTACATTGCCACATTGAACACTCGGAATCAGGGTTAGGGTTAGGGAGGTCTCCAGCATGTAGGCCCTACTATGATACCATATCATAGTTGAATTATGATGCAAAAGCCAAATGTGAGGCAATGACGTGAATCACAACTCAAGGATGGCGAGGATGGGAGAAAAGCGGCAGAGGATGTATAAAAGAAGAAGAAGATGAAGAAGAAGAATTGCAGATTATCGCCAGATTTTGTCACCCTCGTATCTCCTCCTTCGTCTATAACCAAGGGATACCTGACTGGGAGAGACACATCATGCTGACGGAGAGAGAGAGAGAGAGAGCAAGAGATTTAACTTTTCTAACAAGAGATTTAACTTTGTGCTCACTGTGCAGAGAATTCTAGATGCCACTGCTCTGGGCAATACAGAGGCTGGAGGAGCAGGTGGTGTTGGTAGTTATGCAGCCTTGAAACGTGCAGATGCAAACTGGGAGCGTGTTCGGACCATGAAAGAAGGTATTGTTGTACTGCTTGTACGTATCCGGGGAAGCGCCCACCCCAATGTTTCACAAGTGGGGTTAACAGCGACCCCGACTTTCAGCTCCTTGGTTAATGGGTCCAAAAATGAAATTAGCGTTTGGGGGTCAAATTTTATGTTTTTGTGCCTGTTCTTGTTTTGGTTCAAGGCTGCTGTGGGTCAAATTTGGAGCATTGGAAATTCCTCTGCTGACATTTCTGAATTTTCAAAAGATTTCTGAAATTGGAATGTTAGCGAAATTTGCATGAAAGTGCACTTTTGCCGTGCAGTTTTATAGGAATTTTTTTTTCGTTTTTTTTTTTTTTGCAATTAGTTAATAATGTTTAATATGGTGTCCATTCTATAAATTGGTGGCGGTTAAAATGACCTTTGGGTTTTGTTATAAATAGTGTGACGAGTTTGTGTTGCCCTGTAACCCAGCAGGAAGTGGGGGTGTGAGGCCTGGAAGAGCTCGGCAGGGAGTAAGACATCTTTGAGGAACCCTGGAAAGTTTTGTTATGGAGGTCGAGATTTTTGGATTTTCTTTTAGGACCCCGGCGGTCTATTCTAAAAAAGAAACGAGGTGAGTGGGAGAAGGAGACGGTGGGATATCATGCGTCCTACTAGTGAGGGGCCTAGCTGGTAGGATTGGAATAGGGTATAGCAGCAGTAGAGACATGGTAACCGCCCGGACGTCCGGACCGGGTTCCAGACAGTCCGGTGTCCGGTGTCTGGTGTCCGGTGTCTGGACAATATGTCTGGATTGAGGCCTCTGGGGCAAAAATCAAAAAAAAAATTGGGGCGGCCCAGGACATTTATCGGGTCCTGGCCGCCCCTAGAAAAATAATGGGTTGATTTTTCAATGTCGTTTCACCCCACCGGACAGGGCCTAGAGGTCCAGACACAAGACACTGCAGGTTTTTGGGGTGGCGGGTTTCGCCAGGCCCGAGCAATTTCAAAGCGGCCTTTTCGATGTGGAGCCAGCTGCTGCTGCCCGTTGGGGGGGGAAGAGAGAGAGAGAGAGAGAGAGAGAGAGAGAGAGAGAGAGAGAGAGAGAGAGAGAGAGAGAGAGAGAGAGAGCAC